TTCATGGTATTTAGCTGCAACTATATTTTTTGCCAAAAAGACAGAATATCTAAATATTTGACTTGACATTTATTTTAACTACAATTTGGAACTGAAACTGGGAATTGATAAGAATTGGCAACAATAAAATTCAAAAGATGCCAAACCCTTCTAAATTACCCTGAAATGATAGATTAGACTAAACACATTTAAAATACATGAACAAATTATTTTTGGACAACACACTTGAGTTGAAATGAAAGTGAATTACTTTCCATGTTTTCCATTAAAATTATTATTTTATTTAGTATATTAGTCAATACATCAAAATAAATTTCATTTAATAACTTATGCATTTTTTTTTTACATTTATGCATTTGGCAGACGCTTTTATCCAAAGCGACATACATTGCACACATTTTTTACATTTTGTCAGTTCTTGCTTTCCCTGGGAATCGAACCCATGACCTTGGTGTTGCTAGTGCCAACGCTCTAATGTTTGAGCTAGAGGAGAGCCTTTAAGAAAATAACTTTAAAATGTATCTTTAAGTAAAACACAATTAAAAAGTGATTTTTTTTAAAACATGCACTTAAGTGTGTTTAGAAATATTGTGATGAAAGTGTACTTACTTTAAGTTAAGCTTAATTAGATATTATTACAAAGTGCATTTGTAAAAAGTGGACTTAAGTGCGTTTAGAAATATGATCATGAAAGTGCCCAGCCAGTACAGCCATGTGGGGCCCACATGGGTTTGACGTGGGCTATCTAACTGGGACCCAGCCAGTTTTGCTCCCAGTTTCCATGTAGGCCCCACATGGGTTTGCCCAGATGAAGTGAACACTGCTCAGTGTGCACACTACAGGCTGTTAAATGTAACACTGATCAGTGTTGGAGTTAATGAGATAATTAAGTGATTGAATATGATTGAGCATTATTGATGAACACCTGGTGTTAGTAAGCAGAATCACTGAAGAAAAGAGAAACACAAGAGCTACTTCCAGTCACAGCCTTAGATGAAATCAACTGAAGATAAAATACACGAAATCTCTCAAGATCTGATTAAACAACTCCACAAACAGCATTACCAGCTTCACTTATTACCAACCAGGTTGGCTTTAATTCTGTCAGACGTCTGCAGAAGTTCTTATTGAAAATTAACAGAGGTTAAAATGTTGATTATTGAAATCAACATATGATTATTGAAAATAATAGTTTGGTTTGATGTTACTTACCATTATGGTGATAAGTGTTTGCTTTAGTTGGGCTCTTGATTTTTTAACATCAGTTTTTCTCTGCTCAGTTGTATCAGATTGTTATGTTGAGAACACCAAGAGAAAATGCAATCAGAATCTATAAACTGATTGATGATTAGAATATAATCATCATGTAGGGGTGATCAGAACTAGGGCTGGGCGATATATCGCATGACATTGTTATGCGCATTTCATCAGTAAAACCGGTTCCTTGATTAGTAGTAAATCACCCTCACCTGCTTTCAGATGGAAGATATGACGCAGATATGAGTGTTAAATTAACACTCAAGAGTGTTAAAGTTAATGAGATAATTAAGTGATTAATTTAGTGATGATTGAGCATTATTGATGAACACCTGGTGTTAACAAGCAGAATCACTGAAGGAGAAAATCTAAAATTGTAAGCCACCGTTATGGCGATCAGTGTTTGCTTTAGTTGGGCTCTTGACACTTATACTTTCACTTTAAATTTTGTTTGTCTGCTGTTATTGATTTATAACAGTCAAATGAACAAAGAAAAGTGTGATCTGGTTGTGTTGGTTATGTTTTGGCATAATCATGCTGTGATCTGAAAAACGATACTTATTGAGATTATCTGGTTTAACTTGTTAACAGCGCTTTGTGATTCTACAGCGTATGATTATCAGTATTTTTTTTTTTAATCTAAAATATTTCATAAACATTGTTCTGATCAAAATACTTTCAAATGAAATTATTTAGAAACACAGACATCAATAATCAGCCTGTGAATCTCAACAATGGTGATAATAATAATGCATGTTGCAGTGGCTGCCACTAATCACAGCTCATTAATGGCTCCCATCATGCATTGCGGTATGAATAAATTATGATCTGAATTGTCTATGTAATTTACTTTTCCTAATTGAATATTCTGCTCGTCACCATTGTTGAGATGCATTGACTGAATCTTGACGTTTGTGTGTGCCTAAAAGAAAGATTTTTTTTAAACAACTTTTAAGAAATACTTTATAGTATATCTAAAATTCTGGATATTTATGCAGTATCACAATTATGCTGTAACCCAACAGCATTAATCACAAACATAAAGTTGAAATGATGATTGTCATAATATAACCAACACCATTACATCACTTTTGTTTTTTTATCTGTCAGTTATAAGTCAGAAACAACAGCCAAACAAAATCTAAAGTTAATAACATAAGGGTCAAGAGCCCAACTAAAGCAAACAATGATCGCCATAACGGTGGCTTACAATTTTAGATTTTCTCCTTCAGTGATTCTGCTTTAGTTGTCTTCAATAATCCTCAATCATATTCAATCACTTAATTATCTCATTAACTCCAACACTGATCAGTGTTACGTTTAACAGCCTGTAGTGTGCACACTGAGCAGTGTTCACTTCATCTGGGCAAACCCATGTGGGGCCTACATGGAAACCGGGAGCAAAACTGGCTGGGTCCCAGTTAGATAGCCCACGTCAAACCCATGTGGGCCCCACATGGCTGTACTGGCTGGGCTTAAAAGAGGTCTTAAGGTCAAAATTGTTAGGAGTATGGATGAGGACTTTTAAGAGGCGTAAGAGTTTCTATAGCAGAGGAGAGAATGGCAGAACGATGAAGAGGGAGAAGAAATGTGTTGCAGACAATAGATGACAGTGAGTTAATAAGACGCTATAGATTGACACCCGGCCCGAATTTTCCTTTAAGGATGGCCTTGTGTTCATCCACTAACTGGGCTAACAGTGAACACTGTTCCTCTGTCCAGTCCGGCTTTCTCGTCCTTCTTGGTTTTGATTTCATGTTTGTTACATTAAAACCAACATTCAAACCAACACTTAAATAGACATGCCAGCAATCAGTGTGATTGGAAAGAGTGGAATTTTTTTTATCATTCTAAGCCAAATACTTTATAGGAAATTAACAGCATGGTAAATAAAAAAAGGATTTATATACACATATATAATGTGTGAGTGTGTGTGTGAGAACGGTAAAATAGGAAAAATTATGCATGTAATTTCAAAGTGAAGGCTTAGAAGACCCTATAGTAAAAATCACTCTCTTTTTCCTTCTTGGACAACCAACCAATACCAGTCTTCAAAAGATTGTGTCACACATAGCAACGGGGTCAGCCTCGCCTCCTCACTAAGATGAAAGTTTTTGTCTTTTCCTTCCTCAGAGTTGCTCTCAGATCGGTCCCGAATCGCTCTTAAGCTAAGACTCCTACGTAAAAGTTTTTAAGCTAAATTAAGAGTTTTCTGAGAGGATTCTTAGAATCTTTATGAATACGGGCCCTGATCAAAAACTAGAGTTCTAGCAGTAAACTCAGACAAAAGCAGCCCCAAAAGCAGCCACAAGAACACCTTCAAGAACGGCAAAAGCTGCTATTTTAAAATAATGCTTATGCTTCGAAACAAATTCTTTAAAACCATTGTATGCATTCTCTAAACCTGTTTTTATTTTAGAAAACATGTGATCATCTTTCTCTTGTGTTATCAGTGTTATATTTAACAGCCTGTAGTGTGCACACTGAGCAGTGTTCACTTCATCTGGGCAAACCCATGTGGGGCCTACATGGAAACCGGGAGCAAAACTGGCTGGGTCCCAGTTAGATAGCCCACGTCAAACCCATGTGGGCCCCACATGGCTGTGCTGGCTGGGCACTTTCATGATCATATTTCTAAACGCACTTAAGTCCACTTTTTACAAATGCACTTTGTAATAATATCTAATTAAGCTTAACTTAAAGTAAGTACACTTTCATCACAATATTTCTAAACACACTTAAGTGCATGTTTTAAAAAAAATCACTTTTTAATTGTGTTTTACTTAAAGATACATTTTAAAGTTATTTTCTTAAAGGCTCTCCTCTAGCTCAAACATTAGAGCGTTGGCACTAGCAACACCAAGGTCATGGGTTCGATTCCCAGGGAAAGCAAGAACTGACAAAATGTAAAAAATGTGTGCAATGTATGTCGCTTTGGATAAAAGCGTCTGCCAAATGCATAAATGTAAAAAAAAAATGCATAAGTTATTAAATGAAATTTATTTTGATGTATTGACTAATATACTAAATAAAATAATAATTTTAATGGAAAACATGGAAAGTAATTCACTTTCATTTCAACTCAAGTGTGTTGTCCAAAAATAATTTGTTCATGTATTTTAAATGTGTTTAGTCTAATCTATCATTTCAGGGTAATTTAGAAGGGTTTGGCATCTTTTGAATTTTATTGTTGCCAATTCTTATCAATTCCCAGTTTCAGTTCCAAATTGTAGTTAAAATAAATGTCAAGTCAAATATTTAGATATTCTGTCTTTTTGGCAAAAAATATAGTTGCAGCTAAATACCATGAACAAAAATAAGCAACATAAAAACTAATTTAAGAGCTATTTGTGTGCAAAAAAGAGCTGCACGAGTATATGTAATTTGAGCATTTTTTTATTTTTTTAAATAGAGGTCATGGTTCTCTAATGATTCTGAAAAAAATTATTACATTAAACAACTAAACAAAATAACATGTAATGTATGCATTAATGATTCAATGACTCTCTCGTAATGATGATGATATGTAGAGCATCAGCATCTTCACAGTATTGCAGTAAAAGCTCCAGCAGCTCCAGCTAATCCTGCTAACACTGTAACAGGAAGTTCATTTCCTCCTATAAAGTGACCAATCACGGCTCCAGCTGATAAACCACACACAACACCAGCTGTCTTCAGTAATATCTGTCTAACAGCGCTGGGACGCTCATGAGAAGATGAACGGATAAACCAGCTCTTCACCATCAATCTCCAGAGAATCCCAGTGAAAACTCCTGCAGTTGATGCTGATCCTCCAGTAAAGAAACCCCTAATGAACATACATCCATGTGAAAAGTCTCTGCTCCACACCGAAACACCTCCTGACACTACAGCAAAAAATATAATTATACTGAAATATTTCAGCTTTAACTGCTTACAGAACAGATGTTTGAAACTCTTCCTGGCTTCATTTTCTCTCCTCAATCGTGTCTCTGTCTCTATTCTGTCTCTCTCTGATGCTATCTGTTGTTCTCTCTCTCTCTCTTTCTCCAGTCTCTCCTGTTCAATATCTCTCCTCACTCGTGTCTCTGTCTCTATTCTGACTCTCTCTAATGTCATTCTGTGTTCTCTCTTTCTCTCCTCTCCTTCTCTTCTCTCTCTCTCCAGTCTCTCTTGTTCAATATCTCTCCTCACTCGTGTCTCTGTCTCTATTCTGACTCTCTCTAATGTCATTCTGTGTTCTCTCTCTCTCCTCTCCTTCTCTTCTCTCTCTCTCTCCTCTCTTCTCCTCTCAGTCTCCTGCATCATGTCTAGTGTGTAGCAGGAGTTTGTGTTCTCAGATATCAGTGTGTCGATCTTCTGCATGAGTTCAGTCACCTGTCGACTGTTTGCTGGAGCTTTAATGTTAAACTCATGATATCTCTGACCACATCGGTTAATAAAAGGAGATAATTGAGGATTCATCCTGATCATTTCTGCTAGTGTCCTCATGTGTTTCTGACCTGCATGAGTGAAGAGCACTAGAGTAAATCTGAGAGCTTCTGCACCAAACTTCTGCTCAAACCAACCAAAGAAATCCATCTCCTGCTCAGTGAAAGTGCTTAAAGGCAGAATAAGCAGGATCACATGAGCTCCTGCTGAACATAATTCAAGAGCTCTCTTCAGCTCTGAGTCTGAATCAAAGTCAGTGTGAGTGGAGAAGATGAAGTCTGGAGTATCAATGACTGTCACTCTCCTGTTATTAACAGCTCCAGTGTGTGTCTGACAGAATCTGGTCACCGATGAAGAGCTCATTACTGATTCAAACACTCGATCATTAAAGAGGGTGTTTCCTGTGGCGCTTTTCCCGGATCCGGTTTTACCGATCAACAGCAGCACCGTGTTCTGAAACAAAAAACAAAAAAAATTATTGTAAAAATATGTTATTTCATTTATATTCAAGAAACAGAGACACACTCACCTTTTCCAGCATCTGAAGGTCCTTTATCTCTTTGCTCAAAGACATTTCCACAGATGAAACCACTTTTTATTCATAAAACAGTCTAAATTGAACAATAACAGCAAATAAGTCAAGTAACAAACAATTCAATATATAAAACAATAATATATATTATTTATTTGTTAGTTTGTTTCAGTTTCATTAAGCAATGACCTGAAAACAATGAAATTCATATACAAAACTCAAAACCTATGGCAACATGAAACTAAATACCCCAGAAAGAGATCATAAGCTGCAGGAGTATTTAGTTTCATGTTGCCATAGGTTTTGAGTTTTGTATAGGCTACAAATTTAATTTTATACGAAATTATGATTAGCCTATCAGTAATTTCAATTCAGTTTCATAACATCATCTGGAGGAATCACTTCCTTTGTAATATATTCCCCTGGACATAAAGTTAAATAAGTGAATATTAGGCTAACAACGAATTTTCTTAATAGTCCGACGGCAGCTATTTTACGCCATTCAATATATATGCAATGGTCGTATGCTGGTGTGATCCGATAAAAAAAATCGATACACAGTCTTTTATCACTAATTTTTAACAACTTGAAAAGAGAAATGATACCTTATATCAAGTTTCGGTTAGTATTAGAACTGCATAGAGTCGTATTTGTATTGCAATTCGAAATAACTAACTTTAATCTAAGATATGAACAGTTAAACAAAAATAAATGGCTGAATAGTTATAGGCCTACTTACCGAGAAGCACACAAGGTAGTCGATACAAAATGAGTTTCCTCAGAAGGGAGCTTAAAACGACACAGATGACTTTACTTTCACTTGTAGCAAAGGCTTCCAGTAAATCACGTGACGCGCTGAGTCGCTGTTTGTTTTAAGAACGGAAGGGGGCACTGTGATACAGGCAAAAATACACCAGACGATTATGAATTATCATTTTATATGTCATCATGATATAAACAGTGTCAATCGGGGCTGGGGCCTTATCTTTAAACATTAACAAAAAATAAATTGGGAAAATGTGTTATAATACAGCTTACATAGCTACAGAAACATGATTAATTTTCAAAACCTCACAGCACTTCTTATAAATAGACTGTGACTCAGCAATCCTCTGATCTGACCAATCATCGTTTTGTGCAACTTTGTACACCTTGACCTAATTATTCTGCAGAATTGTCTAGACTCTAGAGCGTTTAAAGCTAGACAGAAAATTACCCTTTCTCTTGGGAATATTTTTGCTTTTTGGATTATTTTCTTTGTATATGCGGTTAATACAAAATGCTCAATACAAGAAAATACAAAGGTTTTAATGAGAGTAATAATTACCTGAGAATTATGACGAGGGGAATCAGCATCATCTCAGATCATTTTATAGAAATAATAAACACTGCTGATGATTCAAGATAGTGTGGTGAGGCTTTCTAAGCACTCAACATGTTCAACATGAGGGTGTTTTACAGAAATTAAAGGAACATGATCAATCTTATGCACTAAATGATTCTCAGGGGAAAAAAATAATAAATATATACACTATCAAATACAATATATATAATACACACAGCAAAATCCCCAGTGTTAATTTTACACTGGGGATTTTGTTGTGTAGTGATCAGTTAACAGAATGCCACTGAAAGTTCTCTGACAGAAATTCATAATTTCACTCCACTTTATTGTGCATCTATTTTGTTGCTGAAAGTCTCTATTGTCTTTGTCATTTACATTATGCCTCATTCCCACAGGAACTGTATCTTGAACGTTTATCTGCACCTGTTGCTCAAGAGGGACAGTAAAAGTTGTTTAACCTTTGTATCATGACTGACTCCTTCCGCACATACAGATCTCGTCTTGCTCTCATACTGGCAATGAGGAAAGACACTTCCAAGTATGACTTCTAAACCTCCACATAAAGGTTACACATTTAATTATAAACACATTATTGTTTGTTATACACTGTAAAAAAAAGTTAGTTAAAATTAGTTGACTCAACTTAACTAAGTCAAGTCATCTTGTTGCTTTGACTGAGTTAATTTGAGTCAACTTATAGTGTCAAGTTTATTACACTTCAAAACATGAATTGATGCAACATGCAGTCTGTTGACTCAACTTCCTGTATCAAGTAATGTGGACTGGAAAACATTACTTAAAGGGTACCTATTATGGATTTTTGAAAATTGCCCTTTATGTAGTGTGTAACATAGATCTAAGTGAACGAAAACATCCTGCAAAGTTTTAAACATGAAAGTTCACCGTATACAAAGTTATTGTCTCTCAAAAGTAAGAGTCGACTCTGAGTCGCTGATATGAATCGATAGACGAACGATGCATTTTCTCTAGCTTTATGACGTCACTTGTACCAGTTATTTGAATAAGATACGCCCACTCATTGCGCTCGTACTCGTAGAAGCCAGAGAGAATACCAATCACAACTGGCTAGGTCATCTGACCAATCACCGCAGATTAGCGTCACGCAAAGGCGGGTTTTGGAAAAATGACTCGCTAAACGATTCATATGGGAGTCGGTGAGCAAATCAGGTAAAAATAAATGCATATTATAAGACAACAAAAGTGTTTTTTTTTCATTGCATGCTTGTAAAACTGTTGTTGGGGACTCCAAGAACAATATTAGGAACATTTTAAATGCCATAATAGGTACCCTTTAAGAGTAGGGCTGGGCGATATATCGCACGATATTGTTATGCGCATCTCGTCAGTAAAGCCGGTTCCTTGATTAGTAGAAAATTGCCTTCACCTGCTTTCAAATGGAGCGGCATTTACTACAAAGAGCCGTAGTTCACTGACAAGCTGAGCCATATCGCATTAATATTGCTGACGATACATCCGCGATATTAGTGCGATATGGCTCAGCTTGTCAGTGAACTACGGCTCTTTGTACACAGCAAAAACTCCAGTGTTAAATTAACACTCCTGGGAGTGTATATGAGTCCACACTCAAGAGTGTTAAAGTTAATGAGATAATTAAGTGATTAATTGAGTGATGATTGAGCATCTAAAGAAGGAGAAAATCTAAAATTGTAAGCCACCGTTATGGCGATCATTGTTTGCTTTAGTTGGGCTCTTGACCCTTAGATTAATAACTTTAGATTTTGTTTGGCTGTTGTATCTGAGTTATAATTACCAGACGATCAAAGAAAAAAAGTGATCTAATTATGTCGGTAGTATTATGACAATCATCATTTGATCTTTATGTTTAGTGATTTATGCTGTTGGTTACAGCATAACTGTGATTCTGCATAAATATCCAGAATTTTAGATGTAATGTAATGTAAAGGATTTCTTAAAAATTGTTTAAAAAAAAGTCTTTCTTATAGGCACACACAAACTTCAAGATTCAGTCAATGCATCTCAACAATGGTGACGAGCAGAATATTCAATTAGGAAAAGTAAATTACATAGACAATTCAGATCATAATTTATTCATACCGCAATGCATTATGGGAGCCATTAATGAGTTGTGATTGGTGGCAACAAGGATTATTATTGTCACCATTGTTGAGATTCACAGGCTGATTATTGATGTCTGTGTTTCTAAATAAATTCATTTGAAAGATAATCATATGCTGTAGATTCACAGAACTATTGCTAATGAGTTTAACTAAACTATCTCAATAAGTTTCATTTTTCAGATCACAGCATGATTATGCCAAAACATAAACAACACTATCAGATCACACTTTTCTTTGTTCATTTGACTGTTATAAATCAATAACAGCAGACAAACAAAATTTAAAGTGAAAGTATAAGTGTCAAGAGCCCAACTAAAGCAAACACTGATCGCCATAACGGTGGCTTACAATTTTAGATTTTCTCCTTCAGTGATTCTGCTTGTTAACACCAGGTGTTCATCAATAATGCTAAATCATCACTAAATTAATCACTTAATTATCTCATTAACTTCAACACTCTTGAGTGTTAATTTAACACTCATATCTGCATCATATCTTCCATCTGAAAGCAGGTGAACGTGATATACTACTAATCAAAGAACCGGCTTTACTGATTAGATGCGCATAACAATATCGTGGTTTAACTTGTTAGCAACAACTTTGTGATTCTACAGCATATGATAATCAGTTTTTTTTTTTTTTATCCAAAATATTTCATAAACATTGTTCTGATCAAAACACTTTCAAATGATTTTATTTAGAAACACACATCAATAATCAGCCTGTGAATCTCAACAATGGTGACAATAATAATGCATGTTGCAGTGGTTGCCACCAATCACAACTCATTACTGGCTCCCATCATGCATTGCAGTATGAATAAATTATGATCTGAATTGTCTATGAAATTTACTTTTCCTAATTGACCTTTCGCCGGCCCCTCCCCCAAAACGGCCATTGTCCAATCACACATCATAGCAACCGTTACCATGTGACCAAGTCCGTCAAACATTGACTCCAAGCAAGAGAATCTTGGTGAAGTGGTGCGCCCACAGCGTTTGTAAATCAGACACCCCGAGAGATTGTCTGGAGGAGTTGTGTTCTTTCTGTTCCCAAAGCCGAAAACACAACGTGAGCGGTGCACACAATGGATAAAACAGTGTGGACGGCCCCACTCCCAGTTAAATGTGATGAACATGGTTAACTCGCGTGCAGCGCGCGTGAGACTGAGACACTGAGATTAGTCAAAGAAACATGGAGAAAGCAGATCAAGAGGATCCACAAAGGAATTACGTTTTCTAAAGGTTTGTTGTTAACATAAAATTTTCGCGGGGAAATGAGCAGCAGTCACTAGCAGTGCAGAACCTGTGGGCTAACGTTACAGTTTAGAGGAGTGCAGGTTCACAACGGGGAAAGCATGAAGCTTACTTGACAACATCAGTTCAGTTCATATATCAATATCGTAACGAATAGAAATAACCTTAAATAATGTATGATTATCTGCATCTTTCCTTCTCTTATGTATAGTTAAACACGTTTAGTTACGTTATAGTTTTTAAACATGAAAATCGCATTCAGCATGACACGCAAGCGGTTGCCGTGGTAACTTAATGCACATCCTGCTTGTTAAAGCGAATGTATAATCCTGTATCTGAGGCAAAATTACTAAATATGCAACGTGAGTTATATATTTCTAACTCCAAACAATTGGCCACTGCACCAGCTTATAAAATCTTCAAGGCTGTGCTGGTTGCATGTGAGGTAACGTTACAGATCAGGTTTCTCAGATTTCGCTTGAGACCAGTAAGCATTAACGTTAGCCTCGATAGTAGTCGTGTCTCCTTCATTGCATATTTTTATAGTTTGAATATCCCTCCACTGCATACTGTAACCCCTTTTGCCTCGATCTGGAGGATATCGCGGAGGTATTGATCCAAAAAAGGTCACTGACACGCACAGGTATACCTCTTCCCGTCATGGCAATCCGTCGCGCTGGTCGTGCTTAACCATTTGTTTGACGGACGTAGCAACAGTAACTAAGGGGGGCGGGGCTCGGCGAAAGGCTAATTGAATATTCTGCTCGTCAGCATTGTTGAGATGCATTGACTGAATCTTGACGTCTGGGCGTACCTAAAAGAAAGATTTCTTTTAAGAACAACTTTTAAGAAATCATTTATATTATATCTAAAATTCTGGATATTTATGCAGAATCTCAGTTATGCTGTAACCCAACAGCATAAATCACTAAACATAAGGTTCAAATAATGACTGGCATAATATAACCAACACCTCTACATCACTTTTTTTTTCTTTTTTTTTTTATCTGTCAGTTATAAGTCAGAAACAACAGCCAAACAAAATCTAAAGTTAATAACATAAGGGTCAAGAGCCCAACTAAAGCAAACAATGATCGCCATAACGGTGGC